TACCATGCGATTACTGAGGTAACATCTAAAAAGTGCCAAAGGCGTTCCTCGGATACCGTAATATTCTAATTTAGCTTCAGGTATTGCTGGAACTACACAATCGAATGCCTTAGTTAGGTCATAAAGCACTGCAGAAACCGTCTCCTTACTCTCAAAAGCTTCAACAACAGACTCTATTAGCGCAACAATTGCACTTGTGGTTGAAAAACCCGCTCTAAATCCATACTGTTGTTGGTCATTAAGTATAAAGTTTCTGTCGAGATATTCGATCAAACGATTTTTTATTAATATTTCGACGACTTTACCTAAAATGGGAATAATAGAAATAGATCGATAGTTGTCTAGCGAACTTTTATCACCCTTTTTGAAAACCGGTACGACTCTACTTACTTTAAAACAAGACGGAAATATTCCTTCTTGAAAGGAATGAAAAGTTCACCAATTATGTCTATGCAGTTATTTAAAATTTTGCTATTTAAATCATAAATATCATAACTATTTGATTTAGATAGTTTCCTTATTGTACTTAAAACTTCATTGTAGGTGACAGGTGCCAAATAAAATGAAGTTGCCGGGGAGGGCGTATTACCTAAGTAACCCTTAGGATTTATTTTATTATAGTTTTATTATAGTATAGAACTAATGATATGGTTTGCGATAGACACAAAATGTGAATTCAGTTCGTTGTGTGGCATGGGGATATTATTACTTTTTATTTTATTAATTTCTTGGTTGACCAATCGCCACCCATCTTTCATAAGGAAATTGACATGCATGCACACATCTGATTTATACAATATGAGATATGCTTGTCTTTGCTAGAAGCATCTGTGATTAAAATTTAAAAAAAATCTTTATAAATAAGTGCAGGCTGCAGTTTGTGCATAAGCAAATTAACCCGTTGGTATTATTATACCTAAACGACACTTAGGGAATAAATCGAACGCCGATACCATAATAACAGGTATACTATGCGTTTTGCGCTTTGGACCAACAATTTTACATGCGCCTTAATTTTTTTTATTTGGCACTTCAGAGAAATTTCTTTATAAATAAGAAAGTTGGGTGCGCTCATACGCATGCCTTCAATTTAATTCATTCAAGGAACCTATACAGTTCTTACTTAAGGAAAATCAGAGGGAAAATCTCATTGTAAATAAGGGAGTTAAGTAGGTATCTGCGCCATGCAATTTTTGACATATACGCTTTGAATTTCCTTTTATGCCAAGGACCTACTTTAAACGTAATCTGGAACATGCTATGACAATTTCAACCCCGTACTGTAATAATTCCTTCTAAAGTTAAAGCGCGTACAAAAATCGTGTACGAACAAGCAAAAATAAGCTTCCGCTTTAACGTTCGCCTAAAATAAAACTTAATACATCCACTACAACAAGGAATAATGAAAAAAGAAACAAATTTCTACTTTCTTCGTCCAGATGCCAAACGCATTTGACGCACAGAAAGGGTTCGATCCAACCGAAAAAAGTAATGTTTGGAACTCTACCGGGTACGGGTCAGGGTTTTACCAACTAAGCCCTGCCCGAGTCAGGCTTTTACCCACCAAGTCCGGGTTCGAGTCCGGGTCCGGGTTTTACCCACACCCGCTAAGAACCTGCTTAAAAAAGGAAGGTAAAGGCGAGGGTAAAGGCGAATTAAGTTGCACTTTGTTGAACTATCGCAATTCAGCATTAAAAGGGATGGGCTATTCTCCATCACACCATTTAAATAGCAGGAATTGTAAGATTAAAGTTCCAATCACTTGTGATTTACTACAGCCGAAAGTGTTACTCAAAAAATACTTAAGAAGCGAGAGCTCAATGAAAACTATTTCAATAAAACAGGGAACAGGTCAAAATTGAAAGTATGAATGAGAACCCACGATCGATTGTAGGATGATTCGCCCCCGAAAATTCGCCCCGGTAAATTCGCCCCTGAAAATTCGCCCCCGGAATATTCGCCCCCAAGAAAACTCGCCCCCAAGTAAATTCGCCCCCGGACTATTCGCCTCCGTAAGATTCGCCCCGGAAAATTCGCCCCCGGCAAGTTCGCCCCCGGCAAATTCGCTCCTAGAAGATTCGCCCCCGGCGATTCCGCTACCTTAGGATTCGCCCCATAAGATTTATTAATCCTCGGAGGTAACAGGGCCAGCAGTTCATAAAATGAATTTTGTTTATGTTTAATTTTTTTTGTAATAACTGTATACCTACATAAAGGGGGTAGAATAATAGCACTCAAATACCTGTTAACTAAAATATGAATAGGTAATTAAGATAAGGTTAAATAAATGTAAGGGTGATTTGCAAAGGATTTGACATCCAAAGGAAATAAATCCTGTATTCTCAATGACTTAATGACTTCTATTATTTCAGACATGACATATGGAAAATCCACCTTAACTCTTGTATTACAAAAGAAGGTAATATATAATCTAATTTAAATGACATTTTTGATCGACTGAGTTGTTAGCTTCTTAATTTCTTCCTAACAGAACGTTTGATGGCTCGTTTGGTCATTGGTGGTGTATTTGTTTTGAAACTTTTTATGTTCCTACTTGTTATAATTTGGCGCGAATACGAACTTTGATTTTTGGTTAACGATTCTACGGCCTTTTTTTAACTTTCGGATCAATACTTGGCTTGAACACGGATTTTGAGTTTGGTATAAACCCGTGTGAAAAAATAGTTTTGAGTATTGAAGAAGATCGGTTTCACGTGGTCCGGTAAGTTTTCTATTATATTTTTTAATTAGGTAGTTAGATTTACTTAAAAAAACGAATTTTGTGTACGATTTTCTAAGATTTTAAATATTACAATCCTAATAGACGAAGAGTTTATTTTATTGTAAATCAAACACAATATTTCACCTTTCGTAAATACAAAAATCTGGAAATCAAACTGACAACAACAAAAAAGGAACTCTTATGGCATCAGTAATAAGAACGTGCCTGTATTGTCATTTTTTTACATAATAGTAGGACACAAAGTATATACTAAATTCATTGTTTTTTTAAGGTCTAAATTTTTTGTAAATGGTCAACGTTCAACATTTTTTGATCTCAAGTGGATACTTTGGACATTTTAAAATTTTTATGGCAATTGCACATTTTTTACCAAAATTCTCAAATTTAAGGCTGATCCGACGGGCTGAATTTGAAACGAGTACAAGAGTACCCTAGCAGACTAATTGCTACTTAACTAATAAATATATAAGCAAATTTTTTTTTATATTTAAAAAAATGAGACGTTTTGAGTTAAATTTTTTTAGATTATTTTAATTATGATTTGATACTTCAGCAAACTTCATCAATGTCGGTGTTTTTCAACACAAATTTACATCAAATTTGGACCAATTTTCAAATGTAAGTCTAAAGAAAGAATCATCCTTTGTTTATTATACATTGATGCCAAACACATTTCAATACATCCATAAATGGCTGAGTATTTAGACTCCTTTGTAAACGCAATTTGTTGTAAAATGTATTGTAAACATACGGTTGACGTTGAACCGTTGAATCAGCCTTTTACAGGTGAGAGACTATTGAATATGAACAATTTCGAGTCTCGCCGTATTGAGTTCCAAATATCGTAATTTTTGCAAATATTTATTTAATTAATTTAAACCAACCTATTACTTCCGAGGGTTAATAAATGTTATGGGGCGAATGCTACGGGGGCGAATTTGTCGGGGCGAATATTCCGGGGGCGAATTTGTCGGGGCGAATATTCCGGGGGCGAATTTGTTGGGGGCGAATTTACTTGGGGCGAATATTCCGGGGGCGAATTTACTTGGGGGCGAATATTCCGGGGGCGAATTTACTTGGGGGCGAATTTTCGGGGGCGAATTTACCGGGGCGAGTCTTCCGGGGCGAATTTACCGCACACCCCCACGATCATATATGTTACAGGACTATAAGGGCAACACTACACGAAGAAATCGCGTAGATATAAGACAGTCACAAAGTGCATCATTTTAACCTGAATCTTGTTCAGGCACTGAATCTTCTGATAGTGATGTCCGTGTTGCACCTAAGCCTGAAATTTGTCAACATAGTCCCTCATTTGTACCATCAAAATTAACTACTCGTTAGGGCAGAACTATAAAACAACCAGAACGGCTAATTTGGTAAATTATATTTGATTACAATAATGACCAAGTAATACATTAACTGGCCTATTTTATAGAGAGACAATGCAATGATTGCCTCTGCAAGTAGTAATCAGCTAATGATATGCTCACACTGGGTCCTTAGCGGTTTTCCAACGGAATAAGATTAATGTGAGCCGTTAAATTTTAGATCAAGTGGCTTGCTTAATCTTAATTAATAACCATTACATTACATCAGAGGTGTGGTGTATGATTAACGCTTTAAAGCCTATTGTTGCTAAAAACGACGTTTATGTCACGCAGTACAATGGAGCTGCTCGTTGTAATTCCAATTCGCAATATCAAAAGCGCAGAAATACAGAAGTAGCCTATTTATAACCATAATGTTATAATGTAGGTATTGAAATAGACAAACTCTTTGTTTTTGCTGAATTCTAAATTACGAACTCCTATATTGACATTGAAAGAAATTCAATGAAATTTCGTGGGCCTATTTTCTGTACGTAATTATAATTATGCCTCCAAAGGATTTGCAAAGTATATAAAGAACAAATGAGTCACTTAGTGATTTTCTTTCCTTTAAGTTTGGGGTCACGGTGCAAATGCCAATCTGAGCGTAATGATTGCGTAACTGTAAGTATCAATGAACCGAGGTTTCGATCAGTAGAAAGCTTGCGTGGGTTGCTTGACTTTGAGTGGGCGAATGGCGCAAGTACAGGACTATCGAGATCAATAACCGAAAATCATATGGAGAATAGAGATTCAAAATAGATGTAAGATCAGGGCGGCCATTCGCATTCACTAAGAATACGATGGCGAAAACATTGAAGGAGGTTTGATCAGCAGACATAAAGCAACAGCGCAGAAAATGAACGGCGCAAAGACGCCAGGCGTCGTCGCCATGTTAACGACGCGCGCCGAAAGCTCATAACGCACATCGCAGTCGAAGCTTGTTTAAACCCGCTCCCATCGCGTTATAAGATCGCGAATCTAATTTAACATAATGGGTGTAACGCGGGAAAGGCAGCTTAGGTAGGGTGTGTGCGGTGGTGTTTAGGGTAAAATGAGGGAGCAGTGCTGTGTTTAGTGTCTCCTAAGAAGCGAGCCGTCCGGGAGCGGCTGGAGTCGGCTAGGAGGCCGCGTCTCAACTAGTATTACGGTCATGGTGCTGAATCAATACTGAAAACGCGTGATATCACTTCCGTTGGGGCATGGGCTGCCCCTCGGGTGCACCGGGCACGTGTGCCAGCCGCTATCTTCATGGCCATTGATAAAGGTATACGGTGACGTCAGCTTTATACTTACTATCACTCAGATCAATATCCAGATTTAAACTACTCCTTGGAGTGTGTCCCAAAAATTTCGATGTCTTCCGCTATCTGGTATAAGTCAAATTGTGTACTCAATTTATAGCCATCAAGGCTGCATTGATTTATAATAGCGCAACAAGTAGTTGAATTGTCATTAATTATTGTTGCTCCGTTATTATTGTCCCCCATGTGACTGATCATGTTTGATACACCAGTTGTTTAGATGAGATTGTTTGGAGCATTGAGAGAGACACAATACAAACACGAATCTAGGCTATAATAAGTGTGTTTGACCTAATTTTATAGCGGGTTTACATCGCGGCGCTAACCAGCCAAGATAAATATCCACATTTTGATTATTTATCACTTATTTATAAGCAAAGCAAAACCCAGAACTCCCATCTACAATGAAAGTAGACAAAGTTCTTTTCGTTCCAAACTTTACATTCACCATTCTGCGGGTTAAAACGATACGCATTGCGTCAATTCAAAACTTCATATTCATAATTTGAAATTTTACCACGATTTCACTTAGCAGCGAAATGTTAAAGTGGCCGCTGTTCAGTCTTTTGTTGTCAAACTATCATCGTCTATCGTGACATGGTGGTTTATTACACATGCGGAATAGCGAATTGTATTGGTCCTTTGCAATCGGATTTATAATTTAATTAGAGAACGGATGGGGGTAGTTTCAGGGATGTTATCGGGCCATCGTGCTTTTCCGTAAAACTCGGAAGTGATTTGTTGTTTATGGGGCACGAATGTACGAGTATTTATTCAAAATATGCAATTTGTTGATGCACTCTGTAACGATGATTTAGTGTCTCCTTGGCTATGAGATGTTGACTGTGGTAGTGGGTCCAACAAGATTTTTGGTTTAAGTATTCATTTTTTGGCAATAAGGTAGGTTTTCACACTTTTTGAATTGGAAATCGAATGAAAGCAGATTTTTGATCAATTAACTATGCGACTCTTTTGTGGAAAACATTTCAATTCACCTTTATTAACTAATCGTGACAGTTTCATTCAATTTACCTAAACTTTGGAATTTAATACTCATCAGCACTTTTCAGCTACGCAATGTTATATGTATTCTCAAGTGGGTCTGATATACTTTTTCCCACGCGAAATTGGAAACATTTTAACGGAAACTCTTTCCAATTCCACATTATTTCCACATGCGTGGGTTTTTTACACTTTAAATTACGATTTTAATTCCGAAATCTGTTTAATGAAATTACTCGCGCTTCATTGAAGCACCTATGCAATGGTATTAATCCGAAATCACCATTAATTAAGAGTTTATGTGAATAGTTTACATCAAATCATGAATTAAACAGCAAGTTTTTCCTTCTGTACTAGATACCTAATATATGTATAACTATAGTCTCAGAGGGTTGATCTAATTCATGATTCATGTAATAATATAGGATTCGAAGGTCTATTTCCTAACTAATTTCGTGATTCCAACTTTAGCAATTAAATCGCGCTCGTTCAGGTGATATACTTTTTTCAAATAAAATTGACGGTTCTTTTACTTTATTCTCGTTAACAAATTTTTCATTCTAATTCACCACCTTTTCGCGTTGGCGTATTATGATTTTGAATTCATTCATACGTTGTATATAATCTCCAGGTCTTTAGTCACGAATGCACAATTTCCAATTGCGGAGTGAACAAAAATTCTTTTTCAAACTTTACGTCCCAGTTAGTGTCCGATGGTGTATAATTAAATTTTGGAATCATTTTAGATGTCCTGCAGCGTGAGTGAGCGGGTGTCAGACAACAGAGCCGCAGGTGGAGCCTGTCGATTACGGGGCTCCTCAAATAATCTCACGACACCCAGCTCCAAAGTTCTTGCCTCACCAGGCCCAACCTCGGCGGTGGGAAATTTGCGTAACAAGCAATGCTGCTTGTGTTGGTGCTGCTGCTGTAGTTGTTCCTGGTAAGTTACCTTTTATTATTATATCATCCTTTTTTGTCAGAATCTCCTTTTGGTACTTTTTTACATGTTTTTCGTGACATTTAAAGATTGCACAAATTTCCTTTGCAATTCCCCATCAGACCAATTATTTCGCAATTAGACAAGTGGGCCTAGAACAACGACATTAGCAAAAAACTGGAGTTGCTGCTTCTGAAATGGAGAATTTTGGGATTTATGCAATTCTAAAGGGGCGATATTAATTTCCCCGATTACGTGCGTGAGTCTACATAACGTATTGTGACAAAGACTCGGAAAGTGCCTTTACCAGCGCGAGGAGTATTTATAAATAAAACAATATATAGGAAGTGGTGAGACGTTCCTTATTTTTCATTTACCTGTCTCATTTACAAAATGTGTATACAGGGTATAACAACTGGGATTATTAGACAAAGAAAAGTGGGTTATATATTTTCCAAAAAGAAACATTTTTCTATTTTTCGTTTTCCTCTTTTGGATTTCGTTTTCGAAATATCACCGAATTAAATATTTTCGAAACATTAAAAACACTTTTGAAAAGCTTTTCTGTACAACTTCTGAGCTAGAGGTGGTTGAATTGAACCCAAGCGTTATGATTGAATGAATCTGTTAAGTTTTTTCGATTTGAGCTCTAATCAATAAAACACTGTATATTTTTGAAAGTAACTTTACAGAAAATTATGCAAACTTTATGTATCACTCATTACATCTGAATGTACACACCAATTTGCATAAATTTTAGAATGGAAATATATTTATTTATAATTTTTTCAATTCGTGCGCCAAATTTAGCTATGCCATGGGTTCGATGAGATGATTAAGTTATAGAATAGGGGTGCAAATGCTTGGATATTCACGATTTTACAAAAGGGTTGCGAATTTCAAATAAAATTACTCTTAGTTAATCAAATCTACTGTCAATTTGCACCATGTACGGAGTTCCTAAAGTAATTTTTTCGATCTTTATTCGTTATTGGGCCTTGTTGTTTTTGGCGTATTTTTGCATATTATTTATAAAAATGCAGTTTTCATCCTATTTTGGCCGGCTAGCTGGCCGGCTGGCTGGCAGCGAATGAAAGCTCGTCGAAGATCGCTTGTGGAAAAACAATGAGTGTATGCGTACCCAGTGCAAATATCTGCAGAACGGAGTGCCGGCCTGCATTTGTAGGGTACAAAAAGCCGGATGGCGCCCGGGGCGGTCCCCCCTCCGCCCCCCTCGCTCCGCCACTAGCCAATATACACATCATTCTTGAATCTAAACAATAGTTTAACATTTGCATACATAGAAACACGTTTGTAGTGGCAAAGAAACCTATAATGTAGCATAGTAATTACAGAGTTTCTAAAGCTTTCCGTTTTGGCTGCAAATTAAAAGCTTCATTAAAAGTATTTGTATTTAGGAAATATTTATAGTGATTATAGTCATAATTTGATGAAGCTCCAGCTCCATTCTGAAGGTTATACAAAGTAAATTTTTACACGAGCAGTTCGTCAAAACAATATTTTTTTATACAAAATGATCTTTGTTTCTATTGTAGATCAAAACTGCTATTTACCTACTTTATGAAGCTACTAAATGGCGTTTTGAGAAATAAAGACAAACACGAGAAAAAGGGAGCGTCCTAACGTAACCAGTGGCGTAGCATGCCCTAATGGCGCCTAGGGCAAGCATTAAAATTGTGTAAATTGTCTTAATTTATAACAAGATACGAAGAATCGCATACGATTTTCAGTAGGGGAATTGTTTGTGCATCGTCCACGTCGTACCATAAACTGTGCATGTCTGAAGCATTATTGTATAAGTTTGCTTTTCATAGAGGAAAATCTTTAACCTAGTTTAACACCGATAGCAAATGAATTAGCGATTGTTACGGAGGCTATTATTACAGAGTTTTTTAAAACTTTAAAATTATTATAGTCATATATTAATGGAAAACTATGTGAAATTAACTAAAGCTAAATTTTTACACTATCAACAGTTAAAACCAAAATCCTTAGTAGAAAACGCACATTTAAATTAAACTCTTCGAACTTCGTTACAATGGTGGATGAAAAGTGATATGTTGCATTATTTACCCTCCGTTCTCAATACTTGTAGCTTTAAAACGGCTTTGTAGAGGCGCAATTACCAGGGGCGAACACTTTTAAGGGGGCTTAATTTCATACAATTTCAATCACGTTTAATCCGTTAATAAAACCGTAAAACTTAGCTTGCTTCATGTATTACTGTACGGAAATCTTCGATCAACAAGGACAAGTAGACGCTATCTTTACTGATTTTAGTAAAGCTTTTGACCAAATTAACCACCTTATTATTTTAAAAAAGTTTGAAGAATATGGGTTTAGTTCCTTTGCTGTTCAGCTCATTAGATCTTATTTAACGAATCGCCGTCAATTTGTGTCTTATAGCGCATTCAATTCTAAACCCTACGCTCCTACCTCAGGTGTTCCACAGGGATCCAACCTGGGCTCTTTTCTCTTTTTGGTCTTTATTAATGATTTGTCTGCTATAGTTAATGTAAAAAAACAACTTTTTGCGGATGACTTAAAAATATACAGAAATTAACACTGTTGAAGATTGCGAGTTTCTGCAGAATTCACTCGTTAGAATTAGTAATTGGTGTGAGAAGAACAAACTTCTTGTAAACATCTCAAAAGGCAAAGTAGTGTCTTTCACTAGAAAGCAGAACCCACTTCAATACGCGTATAACTTGGAGAATGAACGATTCGATAGGCAAATGATCGTAAAAGATCTTAGAATTCATTTTGACAGTAAGCTTATTTTCTCCTTTCACATTAATACAATTACCAACCCAGCCCTTAAGTTGCTTGGGTTTATTTCTCGTACCTGTATCGACTTTAATAATTTATCAACCATAAAGCTTTTATATGTATCAATAATTAGATCCAAAATAGATCCATTTTACCAAAAATATGTAAACGATATTGAAAAAGTACAAAGACGATTTGTAAAATATCTACATTTTCGGGTAAATGGTTATTATCCCGACCAAGGGTATTCCCAACACCTATTACTAAGGCAATTTGACCTGATGGCTCTGAAAACTAGAAGAAAACGTATTAGTATGTCTTTCCTATACAACTTAGTACATAATAATATCGACTGCTCATCGCTGCTAGCTGTACTAAGATTTTCTGTGCCTCCCTTCAACTTCAGACATGGGACTGTGTTTAAGTTGCCAAAATATCGAACGAATATTATGTTCAACTCCCCAATTTATGAGATGTGTTATTATTATAATAGTATTTGTAACCCTGTTGACCTTTTTAACACTACTTTAAAGAATATTTTACAACTCATCAATGAAAATATTTAATTTTTAAGGCTTCTATTTATGTTCATTTAATTATTATTATTATCGAATAATCTACTAGAATTATCTTTGTTTTTGGTTGATATCATATTTTGTTTAAAGCATGTTTTATTTCTTTCTATCCTCTAGTGAATGTACATTGTAACTTAACATTGTCCCTTATTGGTTAATCTGTTGGTGACAATAAATATTATTATTATTATTAAAAAACCCGGAATTTTTGTCGTAAAATAAAACTCGGCCGCAAGGTATATTCGCTCTGCAAGAAACACTCCCTGACTTTTCTCTTAACGCATATTGCAATGTCTGTTATGGAAATAGAGTTTTGTATTTTATCTATAAGTGTAATCTCTCTATTGTACAGTATATATTCACAAGTAATTAAAGGTTTCATTTATTTATATGTAAAGTGACTGATATTTTCAATTTTAAAATGACAGCAACTAATTATATTTTTTAACAACGCCCACTCTGCTTTTACATTTCCCTGGGCACATAACGTCTATTATTGTAAATCATTTTTTCTGTGAGTAGTGTCCTATCCCAATATAAGTTATGTGTGTATTTTGAAAGTATTATTTGTGGTATGGTGTGTCATCTGGTATGAGATTAGTCGGATGGACGGATAATACAATCGTCTTTTAAAAATGAGGCTCTAACTAAAGTTCTTGGAACTGAGATTTAAAATTTTTTAAACAATTGTAGATTTTTACTGAACATGAATATATCTTGTATCAACATTTTTAAATAATAGCTATTTTATAAATAAATGTACATTTCTATTATTTCTCTACATGAACAAGTTTAAACGTATATGACTTTCATTAATAAATTTATTAAACTCGAGAAACAGATATATTCGATGGAAAATGTTTTAATTAAAAATGATCTATACAAACAAAAAGGGTAATGCTCTATAAGAATTCATATTAAAAGTGATTTGAGTTTTTCTTTTCAGTATATCAGGAATGCACCAACGTTCATAGTCAAATCAAGCTTCCAGGCTAGTCTCTATGATAATATTTCATCCTTTTTGAAGTACTTCTAAATGGAAATTCCTCACCGATTCATTATTGGACGAGAAAAAAGTCATACCTACACTACTTTTTTACTCTCTTCCTCTTCTCAGGAAATATAATGCGAAAATGGGTACTCCAAACTGCAACTGATGTTTTTAATTTAGTAAAATGCGGGAGGATTTTATCAATCGGATTAAGAGTGCTACACGTGACATGTGTTATTCATTCTAAAGTGGGGTGGCGCTTATAAAATGGAGCATGAATATTGCGTGCAGTTTCGTCGGAAAATATTTCAAGCATTAGAACCACGTTTGATTATGCGTGCGTATAAGTTTATGTTTAGAGGCGCTTTCCCGGAAAACGTCAATACGTTTTGTCCCTTAGTTATGAACGTTATACATACATTCATGAAATGAACAACATACCTAATCGGAAGCTCTTGTTCCGAGTGTCGATTGCTCCTAAATTAATAATGTCTGATTGACGTCGGTTAAATTATCATATTCTACATATGCCAAATTTGCTACATTGTACTGTGTAATGGAACTTAGTAGGTACCTACGTCGAAGGCTAAGGATAAATCAATAAAATTTAAAAGCACCGAATCATGTGCTAGTTCAATAACGGTGTTGAAATGAACCTGTTCATGTGAATAAAATACGGTGCGATGTACTATGGGAAATATATGTGCTCTAAGGGTGGCAATTTTCATTAACTATTACCTTCCACTGTATTTGAATAGAAACTTTAAATTGATTATTCGAAGGGAAGGCTAATATAAAAATTTGCGTCTAAAGTACAGTCAGGACATGTTCTTTTAATGGATTGGATAATGGACGTACCTCTATATACAGTCGATATATTAAGTTTCTGTACTTAACCGTGGTGTAGTATACTTTCTGTCGAGGAATTTGTGTAAGATGCACTTAAAGCCACTCGAAAGTTTAATTGCCAACGTGGTAAATGCGTTACCCTTAAAGTGAAATGTTACGCCTTTATCTCATTTACCTTGTCGTTTGATAAAAGGTAACATGCGCAAAAATAAAATGAAATCTGCTGCAGTACATGCTAGTCGTATAGTCTAAATGATCGAAGAAGAAATTTCGTTCTTTTACAGAAAAATGTAATCTAGTTCCGCTTCGGTCTCCATGGTTATTTTAAAATGCAAAAAAAAATCGGTAAGGATTCCACCACTTTCACGGAACTAGGACATACATATCTTTGTGTAATGAAATGGTAGGCAAGTCATGTAAGATTGTAGTAAGCAAATTTTCTTTTATGACATTTCATTGTTTTAGAAAACATAAATATTTTTACTCCATCTATCATTATAATCTAGCAAATGTGTGCATATCGTTTGAAAAAGTCGATAAGTTTCATTCTTCCATTATGACCAACAAATTAACGCACCGACTTTTTCTCCTTTTCCGATTGAATTGCAAATAATGTGGCTATTTCGTTGTGGAATCAGACAAAAAAAGTAAGTATCGACACATTGTTTCGTAGTCGGACCGCTCAAGAAGGTCAAATTCAAAATTGACCCTTTTTGTGTTTTTGTCAATAAACTTCTAGCCCTTGAGAAAACGAGATTTACAAAGGAAAAACTATGTTATGCCGACTACTTAACCCAATTCCAATTTTACAATACCCAATTAGAGCGAAAGGATAGGTGCTCTAGTTCCATCTTTTGCTATTATTAAAAGAAAATGTTATCCAACGAAGTACCTACAATACCTTTCGTTTCCACGTTGTGATTCTGTGCTTTACTTTCAGTTTAACTCCCGGGAAAGGTAATGATGAAAATGGGCCTACTAAGAATTCTAACGTAACAGATTTACTCCTCTGTGATGGAGAGCCGCCGTAAGTGCTTTTTTTTCAATTTCAATTAGTTTGGCATGAGAACTCATAATTTCTTTTTTTTGCAGACCATCTTTAGAGGAAATTAGAAGTTGGGGAAAGTCATTTGATAAGCTAATGAGAAGCCCAGGTATGTATTTGCAATTGGAAGAGAACTGCGTACTAAATAAAACCGTCGTAAATTGTCCGGAAATTATTGCTTTATTCCAATAACTTGATTATTTATTTCTTCCCTGAAATTGATTTCTATTTTCTGTAGCTCGGTTCCAACTGTAATTGAAATTAGATCATATTGCATTTTTTGTCATTGGATGCTTGTTCTTTGGGATTAAAATTTTGTGAATATAACTACCCAGTCGGATGATCGAATTACTCAAATATTTACCAATCGTAGTGAAATCGATGACTACGAGTGACAATATTTCATTATATTGCAGAGACTATGCCTAAAATGTAAATTGAGAGTACGATTCGCATTTTTCTGACAGTTTATATTGAGAAATTTCATACCGTAGGTACACTACTGCATTACTTCTAAGATGAATTGTTTTTGCAGCTGGACGTCAGGTTTTTCGTGATTTTCTACGGTGCGAATACTCCGAAGAAAATATTCTGTTTTGGTTAGCCTGCGAAGATCTTAAAAAGGAATGTAGCCCAGACGCGGTGGAAGAAAAAGCGCGTATTATTTACGAAGACTACATCTCAATATTGTCACCAAAGGAGGTGTGTTTTTAATGTTCATTGGCGTTAATTATTGATTATGCACTTTTTCGCCTACGCAGGCGTATATTTTTATTGGGAAATCATTGTTTTTCTGTTTAACAACTTTAATATTCAATCCAATTGAAGTTTGAACACTACTCGTCTATATATTAATTTTATTCACAATCGGTTAGCTAATAAACCCGTTTCAAGCTTTTTCTAAAAAAAGTTTTTTCCAGGTCAGCCCTTTCATAGAGTAATACTTCCACTCGATTTATTTGTCGTAATTCGATTTGAATTAACATTTTTATTTCATTGTCCGCATACACTGAACTAAAATTAGGAAGGAAAATCCAAAGATAAGGTTATATTTAAAGGAAATGTGACTGCCCGTTAAAATGGGTTTTCAGCCACTTAATGGAATTTGCAGTTTGACAAGTATAAGAAAGAAAAAGTCAGATTTTGCCTCGTTATGTTGAACATTATAAGGATGGGGGATTGAATATGCGAGTTTATGGCGTTGGCGTATACATGGTTTCGGAGGGGTCCATATAATCGCCATAATAGAGTGCCTATATTATGTTTATTTATTTTTGTTCGGAACAATGTGAAAACTCACACCAACAAACAGGGCAGTTACTTTATCGCCAATTTCAGACTGAAAGAATACCTGTGCTTTGTAAATCGTTACACACCATTCTGTAAAAGTGCTTCAAAACGTCATTGTGTATACATATAAGCATTTATGACAGTTATATCTGTAAGATCTGAGTAAAACATGACTCACTTGACCGGTAACCTATTAGACTTTTACCGAATTTGCAAAAATTATTATGACCACACTCTTTATCCTAAATTGAGATTAGACTGGTTCACTTTTATAAAAAGCAGCGTTTTAACAGGTTCTAGGGGCATTTCAGACAACATTTGGCCAAATAGGCGTTTTTTACTAATTTGGACCTGCTGAACACGAATATCGATGTTGGCATCTCGAAATCTGAACAGGAAGTTCATAATTCAAGATGGCGGCCAATTTCCGAAAATGTTGATCTTTTCACTCATGCGACCGATTTTTTCGAGCTAAAAACGGATTATAATGTTATTCCTGACGGAGGTACGGCACGATAATAATAGTGAACAAATGTTTAAACAATGATTCCATAGTTTTTCTAACGTCAAAGTGCGTAAAAGTGGAAACCTTTTTTTCATAGTACTGTATGGCTACTGTTTAAATTTGTTCACATCGTGTAATTATTAAATTATTTCTGTTTTGGCAAGCATTTTGGTTCCTGTACGTCGTGTGATAGATATCCGCGATGTTCCATTACCTCACATATATGGAAGAATTTCCTTTCATTAGAGGAAAACAAAAGAAACGAGTTATTGTCGCATCACCTTGAAGACGCCTCATTTGACGGCATACTGGTGATTGCTGGAGGCTTCAGTGATGAAAGAAATGTTTTCTGTAACCGTCAGACGACACCGATTTCCTCCTTACAAGCTTTTCACAAGCGGGTACTAGGATAACGCTACATATACATATGTATTTCTGTTGCTTCTTCATCACCGAGAAAATACTGGCAAACTAAGTTTGGTTGCTGACCGGTACTTCAAGAAAGATATGTATTTGTTCCTATCCATAATGATGTGCAGAGGAACTGGCCAAAAGCAGTAGTAACGAATATCCTGTCCTTTTACGCTATCACAGGAAGACGTGATGTCACGTCATTGCTGTTGTGAATTTGCACGCTTGGATGCATTTATTTTTATTTCTTTATTTATTTTTTACCTTTATTTTTAAGAAGGGGGGGTTTCAGGCAAGGCTGGTCTACCAACCCAACCCACTAGACATTTACAAATATCGATATCCGAACCCGGATGTGAACCAGATAGTGTTTCAAAAGCGCTCTTCCTTACTGTTCACGCTGGGTACCATACTGCTCAGCGAGAAGATATATCTTTTCCAAAAATCTTCGTGACAAAACTATACAAGGTTGGTATTATAACTAGGTACATGAAACTTCACTTGTTTAGAGTATCGACCTGGCTCGAATATTTTAGGTGGCGTCTTTTCCTCTATTTAGGTAGCTGATACCATAGTTTCCACCGACGGTGCGCGTCCCGCTTAGTTCGGTAGGGAGAAGTCGCTACCAGACATCCGTTTGGAAGAATGCGCACGTCCCTGGCCCCATCTCGGTTAATCAAGTAGGACTTCCCAGAGTGGAGAAGTATTGCCAGATTTCAGGAGCTGCGAAGCTTTAGATCTAACAATCCTGAACTCCATTCTCTTGGGATTCCATCTAATCTTTTCTAGCATTTCGTCCATTTCCCTAATTACGGCATATCAGGTGTAAATCGCAAGATGTACTTCTTTGACCCTAAACTCTGAAATGTCACTCAGAGCTCAGACTAGCATATCTATCCTTGATTTCCTGGGGAAAGAATTGAAAATGGCTACATTCTCATTCTCACAACGTTAGATTAATTCCGAAGGCTGCTCTAGATATCGTCCTTTGTCGTTGTAAATAGTCAAAACTTTGTTAATGTTGCAAGGCTCAACTGATTTGTACATTGTACTCCCTATATTCTCAAGAAGACGATTGACCTAACACCATGAAAATAAGATAAATTTGTTTTCACTTTTCTATATGATTTCATACTTGAATAATAATAATATATCCTGAGTAACGGTAATTAATACCTAGCAAAATAAGAATATTCCGAAACATCGGTTAGTTTAACTTTTTTCATTTAAAAATTAACGTACAATTCGAAAGATTGTAGTTATCTAAACTTTATAAGGAGAATTATGCAATATAAACGCATGTCGGGAATACTTATACCTGTCAGGATTACTAGAAACAATCGTTTTGTAAGTCCTCCTTTTGGCAGGGAGAGCTAGGAATTTCTTAATTCTTAATTTTACGCATCCTGCCACTAAAAAAACTATTACATTATTGTTAAAACAATAGTTAACTTTTATTATCGTGACGTACGTCAGGAAGAACATTATAATTAGTTTTTAGATCGAAAAAATCGGTCGCATGAGTGAAAAGATAAACATTTTCGGAAATGGGCCGCCATCTTGAATTCTGGACTTCCGGTTCAGATTTCGAGGTGCCAACATCGATATTCGTGTTCAGGAGGTACCAATTAGTAAAAAAAGCCTTGTTGGCCAAACGTTGTCTGAAATGCTCCTAGGACAGAAAAACTTCGAAAAGTGCACCAGTCTAGATAGATAGTGCGCGTTTCCTTTTCTTGAACACTTCCAGCAAACACAATTGAGAAGGGGTCGATGTATGTGAGACACCATAACAAGGTAATCACACTGCAATCTCCGTTTGTTGCCACATTGTGTCTTTCTAGCATATAAGAACATTTGAAGTTAAGTTGAAGGTTTAATGTCACTAATTCACTTCCAAAATGTTCCTGTAATCCAGTGTATGATTAAAGATACACACAAATATTAAACGTTATTAAACATTAAACTATCGTTCAACATTCAGTTGCTACTAACTGCGATCAAAATCCACTTATATTTTAAGAAATTCTCCTCAACACTCTCGAGCATTACCATTCGAAGAGGACGATTGATTTTGGAAATAATTATCCATATGTCAAAGTATCAAGTATCAATTTAGATTCATTTGATTAGTCGCAATTCTTCAATATTGTAACCCAATCCACTAAACCTCTTAATACAGTTGCTGTACCTATTTCGGTAATATTGGAAATAATCATGCATATGTCAATGTATCAAGTATCAATTTAGATTCAATTTGATTAGTCGAAATTCAATATTGCAACCCAATCCACTAAACCTCGACTTAATACAGTTGCTGTACCTATTTCGGTAATATTGGAAATAATCATGCATATGTCAAAGTATCAAGTACCAATTTAGATTCAATTTGATTAGTCGAAATTCTTCAATATTGTAACCCAATCCACTAAACCTCTTAATACAGTTGCTGTACCTATTTCGGTAATTGGAATGCCTTCAAGCCATCTCGGTACTTATGGGATCGATACAGTTGCGAATAATTTCTTGTAACTGGGACGACGTCTGTGTGTATATATGGTCAAATCGATTTGATCGGCGCAGCAACACGTCTAGTGACTATTGACATAATATCGTGTCCATTCATAAAGATCTTTATTCATTCCCGGCCGAACAAAGAGTGGAACAACAAGTTTCTTAGTAACACGTACTCCACGACGAACTGTCGAATGCTAAGTGATCGAGCGACATAAAAGTCTAATTATAGTTTGCTTTATTATTATCACAGTATAATCAAATATTTTCACAGCAGAATAAGCGATCTATCTGATGTATAGGTCCATTACGTTGTTACAGCATCATATTGATGGGATAATAGAAGGTGAATGTGCATTTTTTAAATCTCTTTCTTGCATTGATCTCAACTTGATGATTTTGTCGAATGGAGGGGGTGGTTCTAATTTCGTAACATGGATACTCTTAGTGCCCACAGAGTACGAATTCGGATTGAAATTCAGTAGAGAATTTGCATAGTGGTTGGTTAATTTTCAATCTTAGTCCTTTGGAACAAATACCAATACCTGTGTCGAACCTTTAGCTGAAGAGTCAACAACTTAGGATGTGTCGTATGGCAACCGGCTTAAGGCATAGGAATCGACCTTTTCTGTCGAGAGCCCTATCTGTGCAAATAGGTTCAGCAGGTTAAGATTAAAAGGTCCAGGGTAAATACCGTCACTACTCACTAGCACAGTAAGCTATGTACATCTTTAATAATTTGTAGGATATAGTTCAATTATTGCGACCATAGGTATTTTGTTGGGGTAGCAAAATATCTATGTAATTTGGGTAATGAGACTTCTAGATAAAGCTAAAATCTGATCACATTCGATATTTACTCTAAAATCTAATTGGGGAAATATGGAAATATTTTAGACGAGTATCAAAACTTGCAATGGATGCTCCTAGAGGAAATAGCGTCACATGAGACTATTTACACTACCAAAACGCAAGTGCAAATGTCTCGACAATGGGGTCACGGAAGAGGGTACTTAAAAAAAGAATTTGAAACTCTGAACGGAACGTCTTAATCGATGTGGTAAAAACTATGTGTGAATATTTGGAAGGCGGTGTGTGGGAAAAGGACACTCACAGTGGGAGAGTGAAGGTTTGGTCGACACGTATTTGCTGATAGGGTCAACACGTCAAAGCAAAGTTTCGATAAAAGATACACATGGAAGTTAGAATCGCTGGATTTACATAAAGGTACTTGTGAAGACCTATCCATTTGCGTTTTGTTTAAAGTAATGAATGTGTGTTGTATTAAAGCAATCTTGTTAACTATAAAAATAAAACTAATTAACAATTAATTTTAAATCAGCACATTGGCCACATCGGTGTTGCAGTGGAATCTGTAATTTTAGCAAAAATAACGCAATCATTGAATAAAAAATTAATTTTATTTAATGACGCAATGTAAACCCCTTTTATTTGTTCGATTTTTATTAAAATAATAAGTTTGTTTGTTAACTATGAGATTAAAAGCAATTAATCTACTTGTTTTTTGTTCAATTATGATTAAAATAGAAAATTGAAATGTTACTAACTATAAAATTAAAAAATGAAAATTGTAGCAAAAGGCAATTTCGGGATTTGTTATTGTTATACAGGGTCGCTATCAAAGATGGGACCAGAACTCTCACGCTCAAACCGTTTGAGATACAGACCTGGAAATTAGAACTTTCTATTTGAAATTATTTCATATATTTTGAGATTAAAAAAATTTTTTTGGACACATGGTTTTTGAGTGCGACCGCCATCTTGGATTTTTTAAATAGCAACCTAAGTCATGTTTACGTCATTCGAAAGATTTTTTTTCTCTTTCTTACTACCTTAATTATAAATTAGAAAACAATGGAGAAAAAACTCTGTCAAGTAAGGGGGCCATATTTCATAAAATTAAGATTTACTTATCACGTGGTAATATAATAATTAGAAGTGTTTTTGCCACTTATTAAACACCTGCTCAGTATTTTTTTGTAATTTAAAAGTATTTTAATCTAAAGTGCAATAGGTACATTAGCAAGGCAAACGTATAACAAGATTTCTCTAATTTTTCCGCATTAATTTCTGATTTAACACCATACATGTTTAAGGTAGCCAGAAAGAGAAAAAAATAAGCTTTCTAATGACGTAACGCACAACCTATATTGCCATTTAAAAAAATTCAAGATGGTGGTCGCACTCACAAACAATGTGTCAAAAAAATGTTGTTATCCTCAAAATGTGTGAAATAATTTTAAATGCAAGCGTTCTAATTTTCATCTCTATATATCAAACGGTTTGAGCGTGAGAGCTTTAGTTCCATTTTTAATATCCCCCCCTGTATATTATTGTTATAATTTATAGCCCATAAAGGTTTCGTAAATATGTATCAATTTCACCAAAAAGCTTTTGCAGAACACTAACTCTCATCGGGAAATTACGATTGTGACATTTAATCGTTATTTTGTTTTTTAATGTTGCGATATCCTTACCAACATGGTACAATATGCACTAAAATATGCACTTTTGTATGCAATTTATTCGAAATACTAAAATACTCACATATGTTCAATTGAGAAACTAGGCCTCACCTCACATTCAGTTCGTAAAAGATTACCTACTATATTCAGGGCCGGATCTACATGTTTGGCGCCTATGAGCCTTCTCCTAATTTGCTCAGATTGATTTAATTAGTAGTAAAAACATTTTTTATATTCATTATGAGATTTATAAAGTGTTATTAAAACAAAGTATAATATCTGTAGTTTGAATTACCAACAAATAGGTAACTGTTTAATTTTTAGAGAAATATCATTCTTTTATATTTACATTTCGGCATCATTACATCAACAGAAGGTGAGGTTTTAAGAATATATTTACGTTATTACGTAATATTTACAATGTGCATTTCAGAAGTTGTTTTCCAAAATAATAAAAGACATAGATTTCAAATAACGTATTCCATTTTACTTTACAGTTTATCAATGATGGAATCCAATGTAGAAACATGTAAATGTAATCACTGAATAGTGTTTCGGACACGGGACACGTGACGTTATTACGCCTCCCAAGTACGATCATTGATAAAATTGATTTGAGGGCACCTTAATTAAGCGTTTTCAACAAAAAAAAAACTTGCGGGAGAAGCCCTAAATTTACCACAATCTTAAAGCAATGTGCAAATAATTCGTAGAAATGTGAGGCTATGATACTCTTTACTCATGATACTCTTCCAGATCTTGGTCAATAACTACACTATGTTTTTCAGTTTTTAATTGTTGTTTTATTTTCTTGTAGTGGAGGCCGAACATTAATAAAACCTTATATTTAGTGTTTCTTACAATAAACGATTGTGAATAAAATAGTATTCCCATTCATATGAATGTACATACTTTGAAAGGATTAGGTTTTGATACATTTTTGCTGACAGATTTGGTTATCCTTCCCTTAACCATTATAGTTTCTAAATATAAGTGTGATATTAAAGTCAGTAAATTATGAATTTTGGCAAAAGTTGAAGCAATAATTCCAAATATGGTCGTCATCATTTTGAAAACATGGATTCATTGCGTAATGCGATAGCAAACTATCACTAAAAACTCGATTTGCTTGCAGGTTTCTTTGGATTCGAGAGTAAGGGAGATTGTAAATCGAAATATGGTAGAGCCAACGCCTCATACATTTGACGAAGCGCAACTTCAAATTTATACATTGATGCATCGAGACAGTTATCCACGTTTTGTAAATTCGGCTCTATTTAAGTCGCTAGCCCAACAGCAGCCTGGTCCGGACACAGTAGAATCGGTAGGAACGGATGGGCCGTGCGGCTAATTAATTTAATGGACCTTCTAAGCGGCCTATAATGACCCGCAATTGGGCCCCATATATTTGAACGCACAAAATCAACTTGGTAATTGTTTTATGTTGGCGAAATGTTGAGGAAACGAGCAATATAACAATAAATGTTGGTGAACAACGCTGTAAGATTGATAGGGCCTATTGCACTGTGAAGGATTCGATGGAGAAAATGCTCCATTTAGTACAATTCCATGGATTATTCCTCGCTTTCCGCCAAAAAATATTGCATGACCATAGACACTTTGTGATGTTTAAAACCGTTATTTTGTTACCAACGTGCAGTCAGTCATAGCGTTATCCTTATCAATCAATACATTGTTACTAAGGGCAACGCTCATTTCTTAACTATTAGTGTTGTGTCATGAATCATAACAAAGTTATCGTTCATTTCACGTAAACTAGGTTTAGGAGACGGTATAATAATGCGATAAGAATACCTATTAATAAGAGCTATTTGTTCTCACTAGTCATAGCATCCTTCCCAACCACTAGGCAGCGCATCTTGTATATATCTGCACGCATTGCGCGGCCCTATTACAACAATATGATGATGTGATATACCTAATACTACTACTATACTATTACCATTACTACGTAGCGACTTCGACCACACAGCGTTTCAGCACATAAACACATCCACCTTTGCATGCACACAATATGTACCCCCATATAATATCGTACACTAATAATCGACACACTGTGAGTTAATATAAATAAATATGAAATGTACGTTTGTTGTCTTTATTTCCAATAACGAAGCAGTGTGCGTTTCAGATAATGAACACTGATTAAATTGTACTCGCCCTACAAGGCGAGGATCATCGCATAATCCCTTTCTTTTTGCTTAGCAACCCTTAGAGATGGAATTTCTGAACAAATATAGTAGAATATTAGGAAACCGGATGAACTCTTTAATTCGCCTATTTGTTTCCAAAACTCCTAGTAACCCCATAAAGCTTTTACAAAATTCTTATGCGTGCGCTTGTCATTACTAACATACATGATTGGATAAAGGAAGTATTTTTTCAATACGTTCAAATCAAATTGTCAACTAATTTTGTTTTTCGCAACAGTTTCGTCCTGCTCTTTTTTTTTAGCAAAGATAAAATTAGTTGAATGCTGTAGTATTCACAATAAATGCACTTTAATGGAAACAGTTGTTGTGTGCAGTGAAATTTGGGGCTTATTGTAGATGGTATTATTATTTTTTGATAAGTTAGATAAAATAAGGTGTTTTCTATTGAATATTGTGTCTAGGTAGTATTTTACATGTTCCAAACAATTAAGTTTTGTTAAATAAAAGTAAACTGCAAGGCATGATTATTTCTTGTCATTTGTACCATTGCTATATACCCAAAGATTTTCATTTCGAGCAATTCATATCGGTCACAGTACTGACGACATTCTTGAAAGATCTGTCGCTCATTTGGTGGTTACAAAAATAATGATAATGGAAGGAGCTGTTCCAGTTTGATCTTCCGATGAAACGTGGAAATTTTGAGAACGAACAGTTAAATTATTGAATCAAATTAATTCTAAAAAATTATCCCAACATCCACCCCAAATCAATTTATCAAACCAAATGTGAGTGTTGTCAGCGCCAAATGCCTCCTCCTTATAAATCAAGATAATAAAATTGCTTATTTCTACTGAACCTAACGTTTCTCGTCTTCATGTACTGCCTTGGCTATTGATTTTTTGATTTCTAAATGGAGATAGGCGATTCTTTTGAAGACTCTGGAGCAATGTGACAATTACACGAAATTTGGTGTGAAGTTTAGCGGTTTAGTGGTTTATTGTCAAATAAGTAATATCTCCTTCCAAAACTTGGTTCCATGCGGAGTAAATAAAAAGGTAGCGCACTATTAGATGTTAAAGTTAGCTATAGCACAGGTAATTGGGTATTTTACAAAATATTGCCCAAATCTCGATAGCTGGTTTACATAATGCCTCAAAGTCTCGTATGAGAACTTCCTCCACATGAATTTTTAAGAGAAACTTTCGCTATCGAAATAGGCCCGCAGTCGTAAGTGAAAGTGTAATTCACGGTGTTTCGTACCAACACATCTTTAGCTTGAAAGTAAGGTCTTGCGTTTAGGTAACGAAAACGACGGCTTTGTATTTGTACATGGCATGGCATATATAAATGCACTGATTTGTCAAGACCAGTTCAAGACAGGATTCAAATAGCCAATACGAAGAAACTTTGTAAAAATTTTGGTTTTTGGGAGTATATATTGATCCTAAGCTAAATTGCTCTGAACACTACGAACAGCTTTCAAGTAGATTGTCAGAGGCGTGTTTCTTACTCAGATCCATAAAGTCGGTGGTTTCTATTGATACTGCAATTGCTGCATATTATGGTTATTTTCATACAGTCATGAGCTATGCAATCATTGCATGGGGTCAGCGAATTTTCGCTATACAAAGACGTGCTGTTCGAATCATCTCAAATATTAACTATAAATTTGTTGAACTTGGCATCTTAACTTTGCCCTGTGTTTATATACTCAATTGCATACAGCATATTATATCTAATAACCAGGGGCGGACTGGGTAACTGCGGGCCAGGTGGAATTGCATAGGTTACGGGCCATTAAAGTATTAGTGTTGTAATGAAGGTGGAGGGGGGGGGGATAGCTCTGAGGTGCACCACAAAAACATTTTAAAGTACTCCTTTCTCGAAAATAAATTACCATACAGTTTTTTTTAATTGCAGCTGATAATTAAAAGTAACAAAATATACAATCCACACGAGGTGCGTCCCCTATCATTGTATTTCAGATCTTTCATGCAACGACAAAAAATGATAAATTCATTGTAAAACACTTCCATTAAAACAGAATTTTTTAACAACCTAACATCAACCCCAATTAGAGAAACGTGTTAATAATTTATTAATGGTGCAAGAAACTAAATACAGCACATACTTATAAATTTCCAACGGGCCATTATTATCTACAGGCCAGGTGGCAATCGTCACCCGCCCCCCCCCCGGGCGAGTGCGCCCCTGGTTATACACTGCCTCTTTTTGAGCCCCGAAAAAAAATTGTCTCAGATCGACCCGGAAAAAAAATTTTCTTATAGAATGTGGCCTGTAGAATCCATAATTTCAAAAAGTTCCAAGATTGGGCTACTAGTTCAAAAGTTACAGCCCTTTGAATTTTCTTTCGAAATTGGTTTCTAGTCTATAACCTTTGATTGAGAAGTCTGATCGAAAAAAGTACGAATTGTTTTGATTCTACGCACCAAAATTAAATAAGCAAAAGTGTTTTTCCCGAAAATTCTTGGCTGCAGTCAATTTTGGTAAAAAAAAAGCAGGTTATTACCACTGCTTTTTTTGAACCCGAAATAAAAATTGTCTCAGATCGACCCGGAAAAAAAATTTTCTTATAGAATGTTGCCTGTAGAATCCATAATTTCAAACAGTTCCAAGATTGGGCTACTAGTTCAAAAGTTACAGCCCTTTGAATTTTTCTTCGAAATTGGTTTCTAGTCTATAACCTTTGATTGAGAAGTCTGATCGAAAAAATACGAATTGATTTGGATTCTACGCACCAAAATTAATAAGAAAAAGTGTTTTTCCGAGAAATTTGGGTGTAGTCAATTTTTGGTAAAAAAGGAAGGTTATACACTGCCTTTTTTGAACCCCGAAATAAAAATTGTCGCAGATCGACCCGGAAACAAATTTTCTTATAGAATGTGGCCTGTAGAATCCATCATTTCAAACAGTTCCAAGATTGGGCTACTAGTTCAAAAGTTACAGGCCTTTGAATTTTTTTCGAAATTGGTTTCTAGTCTATAACTTTTGAATGAGAAGTCTGATCGAAAAAGTACGAATTGATGTGGATTCTACGCACCCAACCCAAATTAATAAGAAAGTGTTTTCCCGAGAAATTTTGGTGTACTCGAATTTTGGTAAAAAAGGAAAATTATACACAGGGGCGGACTGGGTACTTACGGGTCATTAAAGTATTAGTGTAGTAATGAAGGTGCCGGGGGGGGG